TTGACTATCATAAATAAACTAATTATTTATTATATTTGTTATAGAAAAATAAATTAATAAATATTAATTAATTTCTAGAATTAAATGTAATTTAAATATTTTATTTATGTAATTACATAACATATTTTGTTATGTATTATACATATTTTTTTATTAAATGACAAAAGACTAATTATAGACTATAAGATGTTTAAAAAGATGTGAATCGCTCTAATGATATTTATCAAATGTTATTTACCAAAGTTGACAAGTCTTTCGATGGTTAGTAAATTTAAGCCAATACATCTTCATTTACTCGTAATCCCATTAACACCAACGATACGCCGACGTAATATATCTTCATCCATCTACCCAGAATAACAGAAACTCAATAAATTACGACAATGAGCGTCCTTTATTTTAAACATAAATGAAAAATATAAATCTCACATTTGGCTACAATTTATGAAATATTTAAAAAGATTTTCTATTCTATTTCTTCTTTATACAAAGTATAATTTGTTAAATTGATAATACCATTTATCAATTAAATAAATTTGCACTGGAAAATCTATCAAATAGTATTATAAAAGTAAATACATTGATGTATTTGTAGAAAGCTTGTGTGCACGCGGAAACGGTTTACTTTACATTGAAGTGGCAATATCGTAATAAATGGACCGTTTTCATTTATTACAGGAAGATCTGTTTGCCTTCGAGATTCTTGGCGGATATCTTTATACACATGCTGATCTCGGGAGCGGCTCCGTTAAAGTAAAATCGTCAAAGACACGCGTGGATGATGGCACCTGGCACGACGTTGTCTTGAGGAGAGTCGAGAGAGAAATTCGAGTTACTGTCGACAGCAACATAGTCGAGTTTCGTACGCCAGGTAATGAAGACCATAGCTTTTTCTATCCGACTTTATCTTGTCAAAATATATGTGAAAAAATTTAAAAAAAAATAGAAAATTTATATGGTATTTACAATTGTATAAGAAGATAATATTGATATGAAAAAATAGTAGTAGTATTATTTCATGATGTATTGTAGTTTGTATTCTGCTGGGTGGATTTGACTGGAGCACTTTCTACACCGATCGATTGCATATTTTGTATACATATATATTTCCTTTTTCCAGAAAATTAATGGTTAAATTCATATTCATAATGTTTTCAAATACTACTAAATCGGAAAATAATTAATAATATACAATATATTGTTAATAACAATTTAAATTGCGAAGACATCTCAGATGATACATATAAAAAAAATCAAATGACTAATATTGGATTAATAATTATACATATCCAATTAGCTTATAAAATGATTTATATTTTCGGAAAAAGAGCCAATATCGCTCTTAAAACACAAACTGCGTATCGATAAATTATCGATGCCTATCGTAGTATTTATGCAGTATTTGTGCAGTAGCAGTTTTTCAAAAAGAGCTATCTCACCATATACATAAAGTGTCTAACCCGGTCTGGCAGATAAGTGTCCTCGAGCGTGTAACTCTGAATTATGAGTGGCTCGGCTCGCTCAGCTCACCGTTTACGTCGGTGGACCGCGGTGTGTCCAGAATTTACTCACCGCACCGCGACTAAGTGATAAAGCACTACGTATGTACAGCCGCAAACACGTGAACGATACCGCAAAAATGGTAAAAAGAATTTCATTGAGATAGCAAGGATCCATATATCCTCCCGCAATAACAGTGACTTAGTTTGCTGAAGATGTTATTGTGTAATAGATACTTTACTGTCATTGATTTTTTTAAAGAAAAAAATTTAATGAACTTAAAAATCAGTGATATCAATAGCAAGATGATATTAATTATGTGATATCAACAGCAAGATAGGAAGATCATTTAAAAAATAAAAACATTAATTAACAAATAGAACGAAAAGAAAACTTTTAGTATACACTTAAATTTATTAATCTATACGAAATAAAATATTTAAATCTTAATTCGTAAATTATTAGAAAGAACCATTATTTTTAATTATTAACTACACAAAAACAATAAGTATGTTTTATTTAGAAAGAAAACATTTATTTTAATTTAGTCATAAAATCTCTATAACGAAGAATCTCTATAAAAAGAAGGATATCCGATAAATCCGGGACAGCTTGTATATCCACGCATATTTTAAATGCAACAAATATATGTGTATATGTGCGCATATTTCCGTAATTGAAATAACATCGTATTTAGAAAAAAGCATGCATTATACGACGCATGCATGATACATAGTTCATTTTTTCAATTACATATTTCAATAAAACATCTATCCATTTAAATTGAATAATTAAATTTTTCTGTTTTTGTTACATAAAATGCATATTTTAACATTTTTATAATTTTCTGGTAATGTAAATTTTTACTTGACCCGACTGACTGTCTAGAGCCATTAATTAACAAATAATAAATTATTAACTACATTATATACAGAACAGTGATTTCCTACTTTTTTTCTCTGAAATTTGCCGAGCGAAGGACTAAGTTATCCGTTTGTTTCCTCTTTTCTGTTAATTCTGTCGCTCATCAACAACTCTTCTCTGCACTCTATCTCTCTATATTTTTCTCTCAATTTTTTTCATTCAGGCTAATATGGACAATTTATCGTTACTTACTACATGTTAAAAATCAAATTCAATAATATATTTTTATATTTAAAATAATCTTTTGAATCAAATAATTAGAAAATATTTATGTTATTTTTTTAACAACAGATTAAATGTGGATATAAAGGAATATTATGAAATTACTAGATACATATTAATTAAACACACACGTCCGATAACCTACTTTATTAATTGGTTTATTTGCCATTTTTATTCATTACATAGTAATTATATAGTAAATTATATTGAATTTTGTTGTTTGAGGAAATTGAAACATACTAAATTTCTCTGTTTCTTTCTATCTCTTTATTTATACATACATTTGTCTATCTTTCTTTCTGTTCTCTCTCACCGAACATTCGTAGGATAAATTTACAACTTTAGTCGGACTGTCACCGTTTTCATCTTACCACGACTAGAGCCTGTTGCGGTTAGCCGAATTACACGGACGGTTAATTCACCGACAAAACTCTCCTTTGAATCATACCAACGTAGCTTGAAGCAATTCCGTCCTTGCGCTCTCGTAAAACCGCGAGCAAATAACGGATCACTGCTGAACGCAGAAAAAGATCTTTGGCTTTCACGTTCTCTATAAATAATTTGTTTAACCGCGGTATAAACGAAAACAAAATCTACATTTGCGAACAAGGGAAATATAAGAAAGGATATGTAGGGTATAGATATGTCAGAAATACTAAATTTTAGATTTATTGCTTTCTATATTATATCAATATTATTATATATTTTTTCTTAAAGTATGAAAGTTTCAATATATCAAAATATGTTGAAGATAAGTTTTAAACAGTATCAGAAAACATCGAAAACTCTAATTTATTTGACATTCCAGAAAAATTCGGGATCGATATTAATTAAACATCGATGTTTGTGTCACAGCATATACATTTTTGCAATTTATTAAATGCCAGTCTTAATTGATTTATAGTGCACGCTAAATATAAACGACATGCTATATAGATTGTTAGATTTTTAATAGATTTTTATTTATTATTTGCTCTGTTCTGATGATTATTGAAAATAATTAAAATTTTTCATACAAAACTTAAAAAATTTTTTTATTTTTTAAATTAGTTTTTCTTAATTATATAGTTTATTCTATACTTTTAAGATTACATCATATCAAATGATGTACTATTTACGTAACATTTTAAATATTTAAATAAATACATATATTTTTACATATATTAGATATTTAGATAAATTTCCGATTATAATGCATAAAAAAACTATAATATAGTTTTTTTAACATATATTAATAGTGCAATTAATTTAATGGTAGGAGATTCCACGCAATTAGACTTGGATGGCTTATTATATATCGGTGGTGTGGGCGCACCTTTTGCGCCTTTAACTGTTCCGCCTGTTTTGTGGACGGGCGCCCTTCGACAAGGCTACGTGGGATGCATGAGAGATCTCGTCATTAATGGAAATCCAATAGACATCGCGGGATATGCGCAGCAACAAGATTCGGGTAAGCGAATTGAATTTTAATATTTATTCCTAAGATGATAAGGAAACCAACTCAAAAGATCTTAAAAAAAAAAATAACGATTCGTAACTAATTTCGAAAAATAGTACGCAATCTACAGTTATAAAATTATTTTTCTTTTTTAGGTTTTATTATTTACTATTTATCGATATTTAATTGCAATTACAAATTTAATATCTTTAAATCAACATAACATGTTTATTTGAACAGAAATGTAAGATAGATTTACAATAACGTAATTAAAATAACAATCAAATCATAGTTATACTGTTGAAACCAAATATTATTCTGTCCTACAAGAGATAACCATGTTTGTTAACTATTTGTTACTAAAAACATCCTGCGGCGTGTGGTATTACTAATATTTATACAGGGCGAGTGGAGATACGATTTTTTTATTATTGGAAAAAAGTAGATTACAGTACGTCTGGCAGGCGTGATTTAATTATTATATTTTTTCAATTTGTCGATCAAATATACGGTCAGTATTTTTAATTATTATAATAATTAAAAAATGCGCTTTTGAAAATAAGAATTTTTCTGTTAAAACTTTTAAATAAAAAATAAATATAAAATTACAGAAATTAGATTACAGATATTATTGATGTACTTTTTTGTTTGCAGTTTGTTTGTTTAAGTTGATTAATTTTTCAATATAATATTTCACGATTGTGTATATATTTTACAGGTGCAGTAAGACCCGCATGTCACATGCAAGCCTCACATTGTTCTTCGAACCCGTGTATGCATCGTAGCGTTTGCCTTGAAGGATGGAATCGATTTCACTGCGATTGCACTAACACATCTTTCACAGGACCTACCTGTGGCAAAGGTGAAAATATACTTTTACTTAATTTTTTGAAAAAGTTTTTTTCAAAGTAGTTCAATATTTTTATTGAAAACAAAAAAAAACAAGCCTTTGACATGCTTCTACAATAAATTATTTAGGTTTAAAACTTAAACAATCCCACAGAGACAATTTATGTAACAAGTCAGAGACAATTTATGTATCTTAAAGCTGAATGAGTTTTGCGCAAGCATGTAATTTATGAGTTTTTAATAAGTAACATGTTATTATTCTTTATTGCAGATGCATCGACATTGCATCTGAACGGTACGCAACAAATGACGGCGTTGATGCCGGAAGACTCCAGAACACAGGCGGAGGAAATTGTCGTGCGATTCAAAACGACGAGACCGCGCGGCCTTCTATTAGCGACTAGCTTTGAAAACAGTGCTGATCGCTTGCAGATTTATCTAGAAGAGGGCAAAGCATATATGCTGATTCACATCGGAGACCGAGAAAAGGTAAGATTATTAAATTACTCAACTATATTTGCGACATAAAGAAACTTATAGTTTTGAATCCTTATAAATATTTATATTTTCTTGGAAGTGAAATATAATAGACTTTTATCATTAAATACGTAAACTTTAAATACGATTTTGTTTGAATTAATTATTGTTTCTTGTCTTTTCGACAAACTTCTCATTTTATCGACTTATAATTTTATTAATTTCATTTCATTATCATTTAACATGATATTATATCGGAATATGTTGCCAGATATTTTTGTAAACGTTTTATTATAAATGTTAAACAAATCTTATTACAAATAAGGACGCATTGTTGAAAAGATAAGATATTGAATTTATCTCGGACAAATTCCATCCACTTAACGTCAACGTGTATCCGCTTAGAAGTTAAAGGGCCTCGCGTGGTCCATGAGGATTTACATTCCCGAAGCATCTCCGAACGTCGTCCCGATATAGTTGACGTAGATCGTTCTCTCGTTGCGAACGACGTCATGACGTTAACTTAATACGTCATCCGCAGCAACATCCGCCAAGTAAACGGCTGGCGGCTCTCATCTCCATGTAACGGAATATTCTTTTTGACGGAAATGTTGGACGTGTAAAACGTATTCTCGGCAATTGCTCCCGAAGTATAAGATGATGCGCAATGATTTTCACGCTACATTAACTCTTTTTTAGCAATATGACAGAAAAGATTTTATAATTAAATACAATATATTACCTACTTAATATTTAGGAACATTTTTTTAAAATAATGCTAATCTAGGATATGAAAGATTGAGAAGAAAAGACAAAAATTTAGTAAAATAAAATTATATGAAGTAAAGTATTTAAGTATTTTTAATAACTGTCATGTTGAGTACAGCAATTCCAAAAAAAAAAATCTTTTTTTATTATTATAAAATATCTTATTTCAGACATAATTAATAAATCTTCGTTAAATTTTTAAGAATTGGCAAGAATATTATCTCAAGGTCGCGAGGAATGCTTCTATGCTGCTCTATCGATCGTTTTCCCGGGAGCCAAATGCATTTCTGAATGCATCCTGCAACCTCTCGTTCACGCAATCTCCAACACTCCATTCCTCCTTTGTACCGCATATACGTGGAAATACATAAGCAATTCTGCAATCGCGACGCTTCCGGTCGAACGAATAGTAAATCGGCCGATTCGATTTCGCAGTTATTTTATTAGATGATGCATAAATGTACAATTTATTTTTTTATCTCTTTTTCTTTTCTTCTCTTACATTGACCTTTACAAATACATATAATTTTCAAAATATTATATTCTGAGATATTACATCTTATGTTCACCAATTGATATTTAACAATAACAAAATATAAAAAAAAGAAAGGATGCAGGTTTACATTTTAATTAATTATAATTTAAATATACATATTATATACGATTAATATAACACAAATTGTTTTCACATTGATATCTCATTAAATTTCTAATTTGATAAAATTATATACCCAACATAATTCCGAATTACGGATTGTCTAAGCGTTGAGGAGAATTAGTTGGGAACCAGTGACCCAACTATGGCATTATTATTGTGGATATTAATAGATGTTGCGTTAATCTGGGATTAACAATCTTGGGTCGAAGTCATTTGGAAACTCTCGTATCGCGCGTGAATGAGGAGCCAACGTGCAGATCTACAAGTACACGCGTATAAGCACGAACGTACAAGACGTACAGTAATTTACGGTAATGTTTCAATCTCTGTACCTACATGGACTCGTTAATTGGACGGAATAATTGATACGATAATGCGACGCTCGACGATTAGTCTACGGAAAATCAGATTTCCACGAAGTTCCTGGAAGTTGGAGAACGTTTCAACGAAGATTTCTATCGCGATGGCTTCGAACCACGAGCTTTTCTCGACCGCGAGATTATCTGCGAGATTTTCGATAAATTATTAATCCTTTTTATTGACGAGAGTATTGTATAAATAATAATGATAAAGTAGATACTTCATTAATTGAGATATTATACTGTTACTTTTATTATAAAAAAAATTATTACATTTATTACATTTAAAAAATTATTACATTTATTCAACTATTCTATTTTTCCATTCTATTATTTTAATTTCAATTACTTTATTCAACTATGCCTATTTAATCTGTGTTGAAAAATGAGTAAAAAACCTATATATAGGCGCATTGTTCGTGTTCCAGTTATTAAAGTAGTTTAGTGGCATAGTTGTTTTTAATATATTATACATAAATTTAAAAAAATATACATAAAATGTACTCTGATGAAATCTTTTCTCAATAATTTCATATAATTTTAAAAGCTATATAACATACATATATTACAATATTCTACGTTACATAAAGTTAAATTTTCCACTTAATGCAGAGCTTGATTTTGATTTAAATAAAGCTAGAAAAATTCCGAAATTCGAAAAGAAAAGAATAGCGCCATAAAAATACAATCTAGTTTATCAGGTTAATTTATCATGTAGTACACATTTCGTTTTTATTCAACAAAGATTCTGATGAAAGTTAAAATTAATTTCTTCTGAATGGAAATTTGATAGTAAACTATTTTTAAATTTTTAGTACGTATTAAATACAGAGCATGTATTTTTAGCGATTGACACAAATTGAACGATGAATTAGTACTTGTGATAATAATAATTTTCAATGGCAATAACGGCGATGCATAGATGACATTAGATGACAAACGTGCGTCAGGTGTCACACAACGCGTGATATCGTATATTGCAATGGGGACTGTGCCAGATAGTGACGAGTTGCTTGGATTTATGAGACTTGGCCGAATGACGGGCATCTCATAGAGATGGTTTATCGATAGCATTAAACCTATTGCTACACGATGCTGCAAAAATGCAATAAAAATTAGAAACTTCGCTGCATATATACACATATCAACCGACTTTATTTTAGTAAATTCTTAAAAAGTAAATAAAAGAAATAAAAGAAAAAAAAGAATTTTTTTATGATACAAATATTATAATTATTAAATTTTCTTTATAAAAATCTACAGTTATTGTACTTTAAACATTTTTTTATAAAATCGGTATAGTGTAGTTACTTATAGTAAGTTACTTATGTTTAAAAAAGAAAAAGAAAAAGAAAAAGAGTAGGAGAAAGTTTTTTTATGAATTAAAGGATGCGATTAAGATTTAACAAATATTATTTTATTTCAGTTATTGACAACTGGGCAAGGTCTTAATGATGACTTGTGGCATACACTAAAATTCTCCAGACGATTCAATTTGCTCAAATTCCAGATCGACGATGATACAGCAATGCGAGGTATGTATATCTGCAATGCTATATACAATAGCGACTGAAATATATATTCCATAGAAACATATACGTTATTAAAGCCAACAAATTACATCGTTGTATACACAATGCGTATTTTCGTAGGACGAGATTTCAAAACTCATAAAGCGATTTATTGATGTGGAATGTGCATTTTGAATAGAGTGTTAAAATCATGGTAATATCGAGAAATGAATGATTTTGTGCAAGATAAATTGAAAATGTAAAATAAATTTCTTTCACATGAGGCTTTATTTACGTACAATTGCAAAATTAATGACATCTGCCCCGTGCTATTTAAATTAATTTTAATCTTGAATAAACGTTGATATTTTTATATTAAAAAAACTCTTGCTAACAAATCATTGAACATATTATTGGACGTATTTTCGACAGAATATGCATTTAATCCTTTGCATTTGTGTAATACTCTAAAATCAATATTCTAAAATCTTCAAAACAAAATTGAAACGCGTCCTGTATAATTTCATTGCTAAAATTAATTTATGAGACAGTGGAACTTAAAATGTGACAAAGTGTTAGAAATTGGAAGAAAAGTCGATTAATTTAGACACGAACTACATTATTACGGAAACAGGACGCTGTGCAAAGTGCAGCAAATTGTATGTCGGTACCAGATGCAAACAGTTGATTGGTTTCGTGCTGCTGCAATGCAAGGCGTCTCTGATCGCAAGGTGTGAGAAATAGCGAGATGAAAAAGACGATTCTATTTCAGAATATTGACGAAAGAAAGAAAAACAGCAAAAAATAGAAAGTGCCAAAAGTGTATCAATTTCTATGCATGAACAATATTTCTACATTAGGTATTAATTGGAAACAAAAACTTGAAGTTTTAATTTTTTATTTATTATTGATTGTTAATTAACTTTTTATTTTTATTGCAAATGATATTTTAAGATGATATGGTTTAATAAACATTAAGAACAATAATTAATTGCTTTTTCAATTTAACATTATTTAAAATAGAATTTCGTAAAATAATTGTTGATGCGAGAATAATAAGTCTATTTAATTAATGTCCTTACATGTTTACTCTAAATACGGATGATAGTAGCTTTGCATTATGGTAATCAATAGACCATTTTCTCTTTTCTGTTAAAGCTTTTACACGTAGTTTAAAGTCGTCTCGTAATTAAACCTGAATTCGTAATGAGCATAAAAGCGAATTATGCTTCAGGAAAATTAGAATTTTCATATTAACTTTCCATTGTATTATGATAGTTTAAAATACATTTCTCAATTTGGCGACAGTAAATTGTAAGCGTGAAATGTGTGAAACTAGTTATTATTTGTACAAAAAATATCAAAAAACTCGTTTATTCTTTAAGCAAAAGTATTTACTTTTACAATTGTGATTGCAGCAAATACGATAAAGATAAAAAAATTTTTATTGTAGAGCTATTGATATGCTATCAGGATAGTGTAATGGGTTTTGCTTTAAAATACAACACAAATGGTCGTTTTATTATCAAAATCAAAAGGCTATTCATTCGAGATTGCTCTCTTATGCTCCGTGCTTTTATTTTACTTCCATTTTTTTTATGCTTTTACCATGCAGAATATGCTTTCTCTCTTTATCTTTCTCTTTTTCTCTTGTATCATGCTTTTACTTCAAAATAATTACTTCCTCTTCCATCTTTCGCAAAGTGCATTTGCTTTACTTTTTTTCCACATTGCAATAAAAAGAAAATTTGCGTATATAAATCACTGTTTTAGACATTTAAAAATTCGATGCTTTAAGTATTTCAATTTTTTTAAATTATATTTTAGGATCGTAAAGAAACATTTTAAACCCGATTAACATTATTAAGTTTACGCAGTTCTAAATCATAAGTTAAAACTGAATCGTAATAAGCAACAAAAAGAGCGGTTCTTTGAAAATGAATCTCTCTTTTCTGTTTTGTGAATTACAGTCTTCTCTTTTTTAGTCATAGCTCAAAGATTGAAATTATCTTCATAAAAGAAAAATTAATTCAAAATTGATTAATAAACAATGAAGATGACTTACATGAGATACACTTAACATGAAATAATCTTATATAAATTAATTTTACATTGATATGGCAAGTTATCAAAAGAAAGTTATTATACGCAGAATAAATTCTTTTCTTAGCAATAAATCTTATGGCGCATTGCAAATTTCGAAGGAGGGGAGTTTCCTTGTCATGACATTTCGAAGCGGAGATACTTTGCACGTCGCATCGATTGCACCAGCTCGAAGGATCCTTATGCATCGTATATGCATGTGCACGTTCGAACTTCCAACCGCAAACCCATGCAAGGGAGCAATATCGTATTTCGAAATCCTTATTTAGCATAAATATGTGGCGGAATCTCCGCGGCAGAAATCATGAGGCCAGAAAAAAGTCGCAAAGAAATACATAAGAGGACACACGTGGAAACGAAAATTAAAATCGATAGATGTGTGGAAGGAATTGCGTTTAACACATCTCAGAATATTGTTGTTCTCATAAATATGATTAATCACGGTAATACGTCTAATTGGCAATATTTTATAATTATAAAAGAGGGTTAAAAGAAGGAAAAATTATTGACACAAATTTCAATATATTACTCAGAATAGATATACACATGATTGATTTGTGTTAAATTTAATACGTTTCATGTAACCCACATAAATTTTTGTATTAATAAAGTAAGCGGAATATGTTAGAAAGCAAATATTCTAAGAAATAATATTTGATTTTTCAATATTGCTTTCTTCAATATTTGTCAATAGCTTGGAACAATTTTTAATTTTTAACATCATGTTTACAGATTTCAAAATCTTTGAAAAATTCTTTTACATTACGGCGTCAAAAATCTTATTAGATTCTCTCTGGCAGACTCTTATATCTTTAGTCACTGCAGCAGGCTCTCTCTTAGAAAAATAAAAAAATTACAACCAAAAGTTCACGCGTAAAAAGATAAGCAAACAACTATAGACGCAAATGTCGAACTTAATTATTTTATGGTAAAATTATGGCGTTCTCAAAACTAGGAAATAAAAATATTTGACTGGAATCGAGTACACGTCTGTATACTCGACGGAAAAGCATGAAGTACTAGAAGAGAAGATAACGATGGGGAGGAAACGCAGAGAGAGAAAGAGGGTAGGATTAATTGCATCGTACGACCAAATTGCCCCGAGCGTATAAATACAGGTGTACACGAGGCGAGGGTGGAGTCGCCATGGAGAATTCCCGTCCGATAATCAATTTCCACATCGAGATTTATCAGTCGGTGGATTCACCGCGGCGGGATCATTCGGTATACCAAAGATTTATGCGAGGACCGTACGACGCGGCCGTGGCCTCGCGTAGAAACGACGCTATCGCGCGGAAAATAATTTTCCGCCTTCTCTCGATCATCGCCCATCGCACGCTCATGTTCGTTATTAGTGTTGTTATTTGTCGGACCGACGAGTCAGGGAAATTGGTACGGCGAGCATTTCAAAGCTAAATCGTCCTGTCGTTTTCGCTGTTAGCAATGATCAAATGAGTCATTGGGTGTGACAGTTTTATAAATCTTTCGCTTGTTTTGGGAAAAGAGAGAAAGACTCGCGCAAATTATTAACATCAAGTTCTTTTTATTATAAAGAGTAATTCTCTTGTAGCTCTAAATATTACAACAATAGTATTTCATTTGCCTTAAAGGTAAGAAATTTTAAAGCATCAAAAAAGTTTTTAGTTTTAATAATTTTCAATAAATCGACATGTTTTGGACTAGTATTTTATGTTTAAAATTGGCCCTAACATTTTGTTTTCGTACATGCAAGTTCTAATTATTTAAGTGTAAGTCTGATTAAGTATTTTTTATTGAAAATAATTTTTACGTATATAGAATATCTTCGAATAGTTCATCAAGCTACGAGACGAATAATTGCGTTAGTTTGGCTGCTCCATGGATTTGAATAATTAATGAAAATCGCCGAGAAAGTTTCGCAAGATCGATGAGCAGGCACACGAAATTAAAAATTTCTTGAGCAATTTTTCACGCAAGTTTCGAGACCTCTCTCATCGCACTCGCATAAGTTGTGCAAATGGGACAAATAGCGAATTAGAAACTACTGGTTTGTTGCAAAATAGTAGTTTCCTGAAACTAAGAACTTGGAACATACGTTACAGCTATCTGACACTTTAGACTTTGTCGATATAGCCAATATTACAAAACTTAGAAAGATTGATGTCATTCTAGCAAAACGAAGCAGAGAAAAATATTTAATGCACAGATTTGTCAAATATACACTTTATATTTTTACGTATACATAAAACTTACATATATTTATACTTTTTTAAAAATAATTTACTTGTCCGTATTTATAAAAATTTAAAATTGCTTATTAAGTTATTTAATAATTATGAGTACTCAATTATAGTTATAGTACATCTTGAATATCTCAATTTTGAATGAACGTAAAAAACTAATAAATGATTTATTTAATAATAAAAATTATTTAAGAAAATCACCAACATTACATTTTTCTGTTGCGCGACATTTATATGTAGATTTTATAATTTCATTGCACAATCATTCTGAACGAATTAATGTGTGTAATTATAATAAATAATTAATTATACAATCTCCCGCAAATGCAAATAAGAGTACGTAATTAATATAACACAAATAATTATGAGTTAATGAGTAGTCTCCTTTGTATGCTTAATCAATTTCAAGAAACAATTAAAAAACTATTTATAATCCTTTTTTATATTATATCTTCAATTTTGATAGAGCTTAAAACTTCATCTTTCCTGGTTACATTTCTTCTATCGGTTAAATTACAAGTTTCCCGCGGGTGCTCTCAACTCTCCTGCAATCACAAATTCAAAATGCATCGCGCATTGCGTCCGCTTTTGCATTCTGTCGGCGATTCTTCGAATCGAGACACTCTTATGAATGTTAATCGAAGATTTTTCCAAGGCTGCGGTCGTTATTGCACTCGGTCGGTGTGTCAAACGTGAGAAATATATTAGTAGATGAAAATTTCGTTTGTAAATGACAAAAATATTTTTAATGTCGAGACTGAAAAATGTATCAACTATATAAGCGAGCCATATGAAGCCATCATCTCAGGGACAATCGAGCGATAAAATACAATGAATAAGATATAGAGCAGATTTATTTTAAAATAGAAGGATGAAAAGATATTTTATGGGTGAAGGAGACTGTTAAGACTTTAAAACCTTCTGAAAAATACAATACCTCTTAAACTTGTTATTTTTATAATGAACTACGAAAATGAAGTTTTGTGTAAAAAAATTTTATTCTATTTCTATGTTTTTGAATTTATTTTGTGCAAGCTTATACATTAAAAAAGATTTCTTGAAAATAAATCAGTAAGATTCTAATCATATCAATCAGAACTTTGATCATCATAATTGGACATTCAGTTATCTTATTATAATAGATATAACCAGATAATTATGATTTGTCCACTTTCAACTAGAAATTTTTCTTAGTGTATGATCGATAAGAAAAACACGCGTTTTCTTCTCCAAGGCAAAGAATTCTCTCGGCTCGCGGCCACGCGAGAATGTCCATTTTTCTCTGTTTACGCCGATTCGCCGACCATATTATTTACGAGCGGTAGATACGAGTCAGTGCCATCGATTTTCCGACATCCAGCGGACGGATTACAAATCGTGGGTATGCAAATGCGCTTTTTATCGTGCCGACTCCTCGAAATGCTCTTCACGCCGCCGCCGGCTGCGCAACGAGAAAAGTGCATCCGGAATCGGTGATGCCGAGGGAGGAGGTCGACGTCTGCCAGGGCATTCGTGGCACTCCGTCGCAAAAGCGCCGCTTCAAGTATAAAGTAAATTATATCCCCGCGCGATTCCATCAACGGTAAACCACTTCGCAGAAATTCCCTCAGGACTCTCTCGTCGCGCACAAATTCCGCGGTTAACGGAACGAGGGACACGCTACGGATGAGCAAACAATATCGATATATCGGAGATCTTAATACGAGCCTCTCTTGATAATCGACATTTTTAATACCGATATCATATCCGTTTGACGGCGTCGTTATAATGTCTTTGCCAATATTGCTCTGTCATGTTGGTGGGCCATTTAAGATCGTTGTGCTTAAATTGACGTGAAGACTCTATACAATTTGGAGGATTGTCACAACCAGTGATTCTATTGCAAATATCACGTAATTTGCACATTACGTATATGTTATATAATTTATGTGAAAATAATATAAGATAATCAAAGCAATTAGCGACATTTCCATAGGAATGGGACGCTGATTCAATCGAGCATATCTCGTATCTTATTAATATCGATAATATGAACAGCACGTGATTGGCTTACCAATCAGCCTGGCCCCAATCGGCCCTTGCAAAACAACCCTGCCGCAGTGGCCACCGTGAAACAGCCACCCTCGCAAAGCTGTCCCTCGGATCACCCTATTAAACTGACGGCGAGTGCCGGCAATATTGAGTTAGGTGGCAATAGCCTAAATTGCAGCAGCTCTGCACGGCCTTTACTTCAGCGCAATCGATCGCGCTGGGACGATAATTGCTGCACAGCGAAACACATGCGGTTCCCATCTTAGCCTGGCGTTGTTCAATAGTTCAGTTTAAATGCTAAAGTTTCGTGCTTTCACGAACCTTTGAAAATTTCGGCCAGTGATCAGATGATCTTCTTCATCCATCTTTTCACTAGACACTGACGTACACGATACTTTTGCAAACACTCGAGTACACAGGTACTCTAAATAAAATATACTATAGGATGACACAAAAAAGTTTGGCCACAAAGTTATGTGTTTATGAAATCATTAGTAATGTATATTTGCGAAAAAAAATCTAGAATGTCAGTTATACCATATTAAATACCGAAGATAATTAACATTCAAAATGTTCATCTTTAGCTTTGAAGTAAGTTTTAAAGCGTTTTAAAAATGCATTAGCTACGCATTTTTGTATGAATAAATTCTTTCAGGCAGGCAATAAAAAGATCTTTAGATCACTAATCGATGAAAATCTTTTGATTCTTTTGCATTAATATTTAAAGTCTCTTTGGTATCTAATAGGCATAATTAATTCCAGAGTTCGTTTCTTTAAATTTACGTTAACTATAAAACTTAATCAAAATGATGACAAATAACATCAATTTGTTAGCTAGATACTTTGATGAACGCACAAAATATTCTAACTAAATGTTTTATCATCCTGTATACATCAAATAAAAAAATTAAAATTAAAATTAAAAATTATATAAATTGTAAATAGCTAAATCTATAACATTGTATGTATATTTTCGTATGTATATTTTTCATTTGATTTAACATTTTGAACATTTACGCAGTAATGAAAGAACTAAGTTTGATACGATATACATATAATTTTTGTATTATTAATTAATATAGTTTTTAACATTAAACTATTTTCATTGAAGACGAAGATAAGCAATAAGATCGTAAATATTTTCCAAATTTTAGTATTTTCTATTTAAATTTAGTTCGCGTTTCAATGCGTTTCAATTTAATGACGAATGGCTGTTTGTATGCAAATGTAGCGGAAGCGCAGCTGGGAAAGCAGGGTATCTTGGAATTTCGAACGCTCCACGTAGGCGGATATCTTCACGCGGGCGAGGACATACCGCATTTCGTGGGCCAGTTGCAGCAGATCTGGTTCAACGGATATCCATACTTGGAGATTGCGCGCAGCGCTGGAAGCCATCAGACCTCACATCAGGGTGTCGCACCCATCATTCGGGTCACCGGCAAGTTCGGGAAAAGAAATCATCCGGTTCATCATCCGGTGACCTTCACCTCCAAGCACACTTTCGTAGGACTTCCGGTACTCAAAGCGTACTTGGAGACCAACATTTATTTCCAGGTGAAAATTGATATTTTCTGCGTATCATGGATATTATATAACGAGCTTTCGATAAAGAACCGTGAAGTCAATTTTATCACGTCCATTTTATCATAAAGATTTTATCATCAATTGTAAAAAGAATATAATTCAATCAATCTGCAGAGAGAGAGAGAAAGAGGGAGAATTCATCGCCTTACACTTGTAAATTACTTTTCAGTTCAAAACGCGCGAAACGAACGGCTTGATCCTTTACAATGCTGGAAGAGAGCATGATTTTATTGCGGTTGAGCTGGTAAACGGACACGTACACTACGTGTTTGACTTAGGCGACGGAGCTGTCAGGGTCAGGGACACTTCGAAGTCCAAGTTGAACGATGGCAAATGGCATGCCGTCAGTATTGGCAGACCTGCCGCAAAGAGGCACACACTCTCTGTGGACGATCACGTGACCGCTGTCAACAGCCAAGGTAGCAACGAGAATCTTGATCTCGATGGCATTTTGTATATAGGTAAGTGGAGAAGGGAAGAATAATATATATAATTCAACTATACTTTAATTTAAGATTTAAATATTTTTTTACTTTGCTACAAAAAAATATTTTTATTAACAATACTAAATTAATTAATAATTTAACAATAAACATTGCACAAAAAGTATAATTGGTTATTAATAATTGAAAGCTTAATGTAATCTGGATAATTCTAAAAATTCTTTAAAAAATATTTTTTAATATTAATTTATTTTTTTATATAACGTTTCATGATTTTATATAATGTTTATAATAATCTGAATGCCGCGTTTCCTTTATTTAATCCACCCGTTATGTAACGCAATACAATTAATCAGGATTCTATTCGACAATTTCATTCGAGAGATATTACTACAATAAAATAACAGCGTGTACGCGATATTAATTTAATTTAATTAGTCAGTCGTGATTTACATCTGCAATCCGTTTATTGTATAAGTTAAATATGTCATTTATGTATTGGTTTCTTAATTAGTTTAATGAATTATATTATAACCACATTCTCCTCATTCAGCTTATCACGTTTGTCACAAAACCTATTTGATGATACTATACTGACAAATATACGATTCTCAAATTCTTTAATCTTATCTCTAAACATGCTTAAGTTATTTCTTTCTTGTTTTATTATTGAGCAAAAATATTTATACACATATAAAAATATCTTTATGATATTTCAATTCTAGCGTTTTGAAAACTATTAATAATTTATAAGTTACAAAAAATAATATCGACAGTCTTGCTGAATATGTAGAATTTATATTATAGATTAAAAAGTTAGATACATGCTAAATTATTACGTATGTCTCAGAATCTATTTTTAATTTACATATAACTTTTATAATTATTATAAATATAAGATCTTCGTAGTTAGTGATTTAGTAAAATCATATTTGAATGTGTTGTTTATTGCGTGTATTATATAGAATTTGTTTTTAATTTGACAATTTAATATAATTTGACAATTTAATATAAAGCTTATTTTTATAACTAATATCAAATATAAGATTGTTATATCAATTAGATAAAATCATATTTGAATATATTAAAACGCTAGAAAAGTACACAAATTTAATATAGCATTTTATTAATTATATAATTATAATAAAGCAAATTACACATTACCTTAATTTAAAGTAATTTGCGTATCCTCAATATTTCACAATAAATATCAGTATCTGAAGAATTTCAATTATTTAATTGTTTCCTTATTTGTCTTCCATCTCTTTCTGATTTTTACGTTCTATAACAAAAAGTATAAAATCGATTATCAAACTCCTGTAAATATGTACTCAATACACGTTGAGAGTATTAGGAATTTGTTATATCTCACAAATTAATAGTAATTTAATAATTATCATATAAAGTAATCTAAAATTTTCAACCATAATATTAATATTATATAATTAATCAATTTATAGTTAACTTTTTCTTAAATAAAATTGAACAGTTTTAACATTAGAGACATTATATGTCACAAACTGACCTTTTAAAAACTAATCAATAACGGAACATTCATACAATTTAATAAAACAATATTTTTTCAAAATATTTAGTATCAAGGCAAGAAAATATGCTTTAGTTTTTTCTATGAAATATTATAAAATTCTGATTCATTCATCGTTAAAATTTAAATTGAAGAATCTCTAGAATGATTCATTCGAATTACGTATTTCAATTATATTTTTTGTCGAGAAGATTAGATTTATTGTAATTAAGGATTGTCCTAAAAAGAAAGAGGTAACTCACATGACAATTCTACAACGTCCTCTACTATCTTTTCTTTGTCCTTCCGGACAGTACGTAGGTACTGTAATAATATTCCTTGATCCAATCTGTGGGCTAAATCTATCAGACATCACGATATTATCCTGAATACTGTTCTCTTTCTTCTTTTCTCCTGCTTCTATATCGCTATTTTCAATTAGCGGGATTTTTTTCTCATTTGTCGTCGATGTCATCTTTGTTACGCCACTAATCGATTTACGATCGTGTAAGATTATTTGCATTAACGATGTTATTATAGCATTAACAATGTTTAGATGTACATTCGCCATCGTTAATGTCTTTCAGTTTTGGCTTTATTGCATTTTCGGATCGAACACGTCGTTCTTATGCATTATTGAGTAATACATTTGGAATTTTTTTGGAATATTTTTATTGTTTAATTTCATATTCTACACTTTATTTATTTTTTAATCATTTGTTTTAATTTTTTATATGTATCGGATACTAGAAGATATTGATTCAATAATCATCAGATCACATAAATCTGAATATATTAATAAACAATCTAAAAAATGTCTTCGTTTTGTTCAGGTTGCAACTTATTCTGTAGATACTTTTTCGGAAAATCTACATGAAAAGAACAGTTTCACTCAAGTATCTAAAAATTTAGCTTAATATAAATGTGATATGAAATTTTTCAACTAATATTTTTTTCACTTTATTTTGATTGTAAATACAAATACAATGTATAATGCACATCTTATTTATTTAATCATTTTGAATTCTTTTAACTTTCTACTTCTTTATTTCTGCTTTCATCTGTTGCTATGTTGAAGGCTTCCCTTTTTTTATAATTTAAATGTGGAGTAAAAATTAAATATAAATTAAAACTTTAATAAAAAAATGTTTTTCTTTATCCATCCTATGTCAGTTATTGGATGAATTGATTGATAAATGATCTCGAAAAGACATTTGTTTGTAAATTTGGAAAGAGGCAAGATTGAAAATTTGATTCGGGCTAAAATTATATAAATTGTTAATAACAGATCTGAAAATAATTTTGTTTGAACCATCAAAATAACTGTGTAGGACGCTCAAGCTGATTTCTAGATTATTAAAATTTTTTGCAGCGTTGTCATCAAGCTTAATCGGTCTACAAAATTATATTATCTATTTTGATGGTCGAACAAAATTATTTTCAAATCTAATTAAACTTCAGCAAAATTGTCCTTTTCGTGTAACAAAAACTGTTCTTTCCGTATATAATAAACCTATAACTCTGAGAGATCATCATGATTATTTCATCGTTTGTATTAAAATAAGATACATTAATCTAAAAGTTGATTTGTTCCGACCCGAACGAACATGTCTTTAAATATATTCTTTGTCAAGTTTACATACGTACTTATAATCTTTTCCTGAATACTTGTATTCATTGGCAAACATCCAGTTTTCGTCCGGCGAGACATAACCCTTCATCAATCCAATCTCGATTTGCGGGGCTTTGAACTTCGGATGTACTGTCCTCCATTTGTCCAGAATATGTTCCAGGCTCCTCGCTGATTCCGGCGAAAATCGTACATTGTACAATCTTTGCGACTGGATAATCGATGTTGAGAAATGAACAATCGAGATTAGCAGAACGCAAATGGCGAGCTCGCGAAGAGACATAATGACTGATAACTTATGAAATAAAAGTTATTGAATTTCCGCGTCGATTTAATATATCTCATGACGTGCTGGAACGACTATGGTAACATGATTAGCGAGTTCGAAATTCGACGAATTATACCGATTCAAGAGATAACATCGCTATTATCTTTTTATCGCGCGTCAAAGTAATCACCGATTCTCGCGATGACGTCAGGCTTTTTACCTTGATTATCAATTACGCCGATAAAGTCAATTAACAATTCAAGCGTTTTATGAATTCATGCACTTTCGATGATGATGCATAGACGACTGTTTGAAACACGCAAATGATCGACCTCGTGATTCTAACTAACTCAGCGAGCCGCACATCCGTCATTCAACCGCAACGCAGCCGCAATGTAAGATGAAATTCGTGAGCGATTTACCGGTTATTATGATAAATACAATTTAATCATGGCTTACGAATATGTCATACGTGATAACGATACAGCTGACTGATAAGAGCGCGACCGCGCCAGTCTTATTCGTAAAAACGTAAAAAGTATGCTTAGATTGAATTAATTCATTGATTAATATTATAATTTTTTTTAATTTGGTTTTATATTTTTTAAATCTTTTTTATACAGACTGGCTTTTTAATTAAAAAGGGCTATAATTAAGAGATTATAAAGAGTACATTAAAAAAAGTTAATATGATAAAAGTGAAAAATGCAGAAGCATTTACATAAGATTTCATTTTCGAAATGCTCGGACAACTTCAATTTTACTTAGAATTAATCATCTTAATAGGAAAAAAAATTCACTATACTATATTAAAAGATATATTAATATATTAATAAATTATAATCGAAATTGAAAGAAAGTGGAAAATAATTGTAACAAATATTTGTAAAATCATATTGTTTTGACATTGTTTTTATTTTTTTTACAATACAACTGCATTACGAGCTCCAAAATGTTACGAATACATTTATACCATTTCAAGTAGTCATTTCATATTTGATAAGGTAATCTTATTCTGGGCAATTATTTACAATGGGCATGCTTTTGATAATCTTTATCTTGACATACATATGTTGTAGAGATGTAAATGATGATTGAAACCTTTTTGTTCAAAGAATATACTTACGTAAATCCTTAAGAAAATCCAATTTAATACTAAAAATTATTTATTTTGAATTATTTATTTTATATTAAAAACTAAAATAAAAAACAGTATTTTTAATATTGAAAATAATTAATCATTACTTTCCAGTATTAAATGTTTATAAAGAAATGCTAAAAAAAATTTTATTTCTTTTTATAATTTTCTTCATACCTGCTTCTTCTCTCCGTCACTACGATATGTTTTGCCAACCAATCGTATCGGTAACTTATCTCTATTTATTTTAAGATGCCGATTATCAGCGCAAATTTGTAAATTACTGAGTTGTCGTCTTTAGTACTTGCTTTGACTATATAATCGCTATTTCATCGTAAATTTTGATCGATAAAAAAACTAATCAGTTATTTTATTAATTATTTAAAGAAACGATTATTTTATTAATTATTTAATTTTAAATAATTTGATTATAATGCAATTTCTGTGTAACATTAACACGTCATTCCGATTTAGATTTTCATATAACATGTAGAAATTATTTATCATTTGAACTTTTTGCTTTCCTGATGCAATTGCATAGTTAATTTGAAGGCCTCAGAGAAGGAGAGATGTCACGCGATGATTATTATCGTGTTGTGTAAGTGCATAACTTTTCAAACAATAAATAACGTAAGAAATTTATGTGAAGAAGTTGATTTTATCTTCGTAATAATTATTTATGGAACTATTTTATGATTTAGATGAATCCGCTCGAAAAATTCACAAGTGAGCCACAGATTGTGCATCACTGATTTAGATATTTTATTCTGTTACGTGATTGCGAGAAATAATGTCTGGCTACGAAAAAGCTTACAATTTCTTGACGATAGATAATATAGCTTGATTTTTTCAAATTATAATTTTATATGAATGATAATATTAACTGACAAGACTGACAAAGAAACATTTATAATGCAGATATTTTTGCATTTCTAATTCATAGCATAGATAGGATAGATCTATATATGTCTGGGCTAATGATCCGAAATTCAGTTACGATATCAGTGTAGCGCGCTATGAATTACCATTAATTAGATCCATATCATACCGTTCTCGTTGCTTAATTCATTAATAAATCTATCGATTACCGTCGGGCTGGCATAAATTGGCAAATCAGTCATCAATTATTCTTCAATAGTGATTGCCAAATCGCAATCACATGTCACGAGATCAGTTCAACGCAAAAATTACCAAAATTTCACTCTGATTGAATTTAATTATCAAGATTATATTCAAGATAACTCTAGTAGCTTTCATATAATGCGATAGTCAGTTAAAAATTTAATTCTAAATATAATCACAATAATGAATTTTTTCAATTGAAATTTGTCTCATTGCATGTCAAATTGACATGTTTTTATTCAAACGTCCATTACTTCTTGCTCATCTTTGGCTCTTTTATCTTATTATATTATTTATCTTATTATATTATTTAATTAAAAGTTCATTATTTAGATTTATTGTTTAAAATTTATTATATTTTTACAATGGAGAGAAAAAGTTTGCTGTGGTACTGCATTTCGTTTTATTCGTAAAATCCCTCTTTAATACATATATTTTGAATGAGATACTTTCACACTGCATACAAACTGATTGGCCAGGCAATTGCATTTCGAAGTTACTGCCCACACGGTCATACGGAGTATAATGTGTAACCGTCGAAATAATTTTCGACTGGTGGCGATCCCGCAGGATTTATGGCGGCGGGATCGACCGGACGTGCGGTCGTCTCGGTTCGTCGAACACTCGCGATATCCGCGATTGCCGAGAGGTCTGCGGATATCGCAAGGCTACGAGAGTTTGCGAGAGAGATGATTTTGATTTAACTATCGAATTTCGGTTTCGATATTTTATGTCAAGCGCTACATCCCGTTTGCATTTTGGCAATTTCATCTTGCGACAAGCTTTATTGCGACTCACGATTCAAACGAATGTGTAAACATTTTAAATATCCATTTTATTGTGATTTTTAATAATTAAAAGATAATATTATTTTTACAAAATGTCAAATCAAAGTAAACGTCACAAGAACATATACACTGATATATTTAACCCTACTGATCTTTTTGGGTTAATTTGACCCACAAAAGTAATTAATTTTCTTATTAATATTTTATTTAAAAAATTTGTTCCTCTGATATTTGATCACGTCGTCTGTTAATACAAGACTTTTTCTCGTAAATTTTTTAAATATTTTTTAAGGTTTTTTAATCATATAAAATCATAAAATTGAAACGATATGAGATCATTTAATAAATTTGAACAGAGCAGCTGAATTAATAAAAGGAAAAAAAAGAGAGAGAGAAGATTTGTTTTTTAAAAAGTCGAACAAGTTTCGTAAAAGAGATTTGACGTCTTATTTATTTCAGGTGGAGTGGAGAAGGCGCAATATGGCCAATTACCAAAACAGATTCTCAGCCGTCACGGATTCGAGGGGTGTCTGGCGTCGTTGGATCTCAGCGGGGAAAGTACCGACCTCATTACCGATGCCGTCGTGCCGAGTTCTTTGATCACATCCGGATGCGACATTTACACCAACATACATCCGGGCAAGAAGTGCACTCATGATCTCTGTGCCAATCATGGAACATGCGTGCAACAATGGAATAGCTACACATGTGATTGCGACATGACGAGTTTTACCGGGCCGACTTGTAACGATGGTAAAGGAATATAGAAAAGAGAAACATAGATACGCTGATATTCGCATTTATTTCGAGAAAGGGAAAAAGAGAAAGGAAAAAGAGATTATTCGTCCTCTCCATGCTGTTCTCTTTACATACAAAATTGCCAATTAATTAATAATTAATATTTTTTAATAAATGCTATCTATCAATATCACTCTATGCGTGTACTACATTATTATAATAACACATTATCTATAAAATTAACAAAACTAAAGTTTGATTATTGGCTTATTCTACAATATAATAAATATTAAAAGGATGTAAAATTAGTTTAACTAGAATTGATTTCTTTCGAGAGGAAATATTTTCCATAATTAAAAGCAGTTATTGATGAAACTTGATAAATAGGACATTTCTAAAAATAAATTTTAGAATGAAGATTAAATTATTATATGGTAGGATAATAATTTAATAAATAACGAAGCAAAAATAATCTCAGCACTTAATATATAACAGATGAAAACATCACTTTAACATCAATATGTTTCACTTCGCAGAGGCTATCGCTTACGAATTCGGAGCAGGAAGAGGAATTATCACGTATACGTTTCCGCCTGATCGTCGACCGGAAATGAAAAGAGATACTGTGGCCTTGGGTTTCGTTACCAGCGTTAATGACGCTGTGTTGCTTAGAATAGAATCTGCGTCGAGTAACGATTATCTTGAAATCGAAATTGTTAGTATACAATAAATTTGAATTTACACATTATACAGCATTATTAAGCACTATTCATTCATATATATAATGTATTGTATAATATATAGATTATATAATTTAGTACAGGGCTTCCCAAACTTATATATTGCGACTCACTTTTTAAAACAACAAATATAGTTTGCAATTATCTGGCAAATGAAAAAAACAGAAAACGAATAAGTTAATTAATTTATATCATTTTATTTATGTATTTTATTTTATGTATATTTCTACTTTTTTATTTTTTATTGGATATAATATTATAAATCTATTTCTCAGATAACAAGATAAATTATGATATTTATTATGATGGATGTAATAAGAATGTGTTTTTTATTTTTGTTCTGATAACAGAATGTTTAACGTTGACGATAACAATTGATCGATATGAGTTATTTTTAGACATAAGAAATTTGATAAAAGTTTGAGAATTAAAGTTTATTTTGAAATTTCGTTTTAAATTTTATTATCGTTGAAAATTTAATCTTATATAGTACGAAATTGTGAAAAGACATACACATAGGCAAATTTGTACAACTACGCAAAGTGATGAAGTGTAATTTAACATTGTAAAATTTTTTGCGATTCCTCGAGTCACGACCTATCCTTTGGGAATCTCTGATTTAGTATGTACATATGTAAATAATAGTATTAGTTAAATCGATTTTTCGAAATGCATAATTATTAAACTTATAAATATGAATTATGAATTAGCATACATTATATATCCAACGTCCTCTTAAATTAATTTATTTAATTTTGTAAATTTCTTTTCCAATGATTTAATGTAATTGGCACGAATAAAAAATCAAATTTCAATGAAACAAGAAATTAATAATTTATTTGTTTCATAGGTGGAAGGTAACGTTTTTGCGGTTTATAATATGGGCACCAACGATCATCCAATAGGCGAAGTTGGCGTGAAAGTTAACGACAACCAATATCACGTGGTTAGATTTACCAGAACTGGGCCGAACAGCACATTACAAGTCGATGACTACAATTTGCAATCTAATCATCCATCAGGTAAGTAATTTTTGCATAATGTATATTGTAGGAACAACTCGTGATAAGCTATCGCTGATTGATCGTCTTGTCAAGCTTATGTCAGGTGTGTGATAAAAAATTATAATATAAAATATTGTCAGATATCAAATATAGTTTGAAATGTTAATAAGTTAGCATCACACACATATGTCGAAGAGAAAACTCCACAAACTTTCTCGATTTATAAATTAAAGAGCAAAGTGGAAAAAGCGCGACGATTATCTCCGCGATTGTCATACATTTATTAATTATGATAACAAAAATTATAATAAATCACATGAAGCATAACGTTTAGTATGCAGAAATCGTGTTTAAGTTTAAATAAATATCACGCATACGTGCTTTAAATACGAGACGATCCAAACAGCACGAGAACTGCCGGGAAACTGAAGACGAGGGGTCCCATGTGTTCTTTTAAGAGCATCATGGTACCGGGACATTGACCCGTTCTAACCATGGGAAATGGCTTTGATCAGCCGTTCACGAGACCCAGCTATTGTTTCGTCCTTTTCACGAATACGAAGGCCGTCTGCCGCTCTCACGAAAAGGCGTCTTGCTCGTGTTGGGAATGATTTATCGATTAACTAAGAATTATCCGGGCGATTATCCGGAAACATTTCTCTCTCCTCAGTTGCATTGTTGGTTCTAAAATTTGAAGATCTGCACTTAACTCTTCTTGGTGCTCGCAATATTTTTCATTGATACGAATAAATGTACAAGTTTGTTTGAGATATTTAAATCCGCTATCTTTTGTTTAACATCACTAAAATTAAAAAATAGATAATTTATTGAAACAAATTATATTTGCTTATATTTATGTTTATATCTGTAAATATACCTTACTTCATAATTAAGATATTGATTGAGAGATTATTCTTGTGGGACATTCATCTATTTTAGTAATTTTATTGTAATATAATAAATATGAGCCTTCTATAATTAATGGATCGATTGATTGAATATAAGCATACAGCAGCAAAATCATGAGAAGCAAATTTTAAAAAATACTTTCAATATGAAAGTCACACGGAAAATAAATATCAAATTAGATCAGATATTTTATAATATTCTTCTCTCTCAATATAATATTTTTTCTAATATTTTTTTCTTTTAACGATTTATTATTGCATAGAAGATACCTGTCAATTACATGACAATTTTTTTCATATGTATTAAATCAAATCAAAGATAGATTTTCTATCTCCTGTTCTAACATCTGATTTGCTTGACTCGAATAATTAATTTTCACATTCTTTTTATTCGCGTTTATAAAAATCCTGTTACCATTATGATCTTTTTATAATTATCTTACAATTTTATAATTATTAATTATAAGCCTGATATTTTTAAAATTATTAAGAATGTATCCTGACACATACAATGATTCTGACGGAGCTTATCGTTTCGTTGACAAGATGAAATCCTGATGCTCGACCAAGTAATCGAAGTTTTATCGAACACAAACTAAGTTTATTTACTCTCTTACAGGCTTTGAATTTTCCATCCATAACATGTTGTCCTGATAACTTGACCTTTAAAAAACGCTTTATCTAACAAGAGATCCGAGCTCATATTAATCCTGTTAATACCTGTGCGATCCCATTATCCTTCGAAAGAAATAGATGAATTGGAATGAATTAAGCGAATAGATCAAAATCAAAAATCTTTATAATAAACTGTCTACATTAAGATTAATTAATCTACATTATTTTGATTGAAATTTTACGTAATTATATTGAATAAAAGATGATTATATCAATACAAGGCAGTTACGAGTATATATATATATAACGAGTATATTTCTTTGAAATGTATTTAACCATACACATACACATTGCAGCAAGAATCTATGGACATATTTTGTTTTCAACCTGCGTATGAAACGTTGGAATATTAATTGCATGTTTCTCTCTTCTGTCAAAAATTGAAATAAACGCCGACGAGCAAATTAATTAATTAATTTAAAGAGATAGTATGTACAAACAGAAAAGAATTTCTACAGTAAACGCCACGTATTTAATTAGCAAACGGCAAAGCGGGATTTCTACTTTCTGTATGCAATTAATTTTGTAATGTCGTCCATATATCATGTTTACTAGGAATTGCATTCGTTCATACTGTAGCGCGCGTTAATATAATTAAGTGCCTCACTTAGTTATATTACTCAAATTGTTTACACACATATGAATAAACTGTTGGTTTACTTAATATAATTTAACAACCGCATAAACTGCAAATTAATACAATATTCTGTTTATAATATTCCGAATTTTTTCTACTAAGTATTTTTTTTTAAGGTTTTAATATCAATAATTCAGTGATTCTATGATTTGTTTGATGAAATTACGTTTTCTTATTTATCATATAAAGCAATTATATTTAAAATGATATTTTGTCATATCTGTATATCAAATTAAGATTTTACGCAGTTCATTATGCACCATATTTTTCCATTCAGCTACGTCGGATAATTAGATTTACTTCGCCATATAATCAAATAGTTCATATATCTGTTTGTGTATTTCTGCACAGATATTAATTACGAGGCAGCATTATGCGTAATAGACTGCGTTGCACTCATTTTGCTGACCCAGGCAAATTTATCGACGACTAATGCACGATGCATTTTCATAAGTGTACGAGCTTTTCCCGCGAGCATCGTTTGCAGAACTCGCAAATATGCACATGTGTTTAATATTTAACGAATACTCATCAAATCTTCTACTTTTAACTCAATAAGTAGTGCAATCGACTAACGCCGAGACCGTTCGAATGAATAGTTTTCACATAACTAAAACATTTACGAAAATATATGCCAGATAAAATTTAAGTTTCTATTCTTATTATTTATATTTTTATATTTCAATTATTCAAATCATGTTATCTGAATATAAGTCGAATTGTTCTACCTGTTTGTTTATTTGTTTTGCTATTAAAGAAATCTACGTAATGTAGGTAAAGAACAGATTAGGATATTAAATTAGGAAGATAAAAATATAAGATTTTCCTTAATTCTTAGGTGCGTACAAATATCTTATAATTACAAATATATTTTGTAATGGGGTTTAGATTAAAGAATTAATCAGTTATAATTCCTTCGACAAAGTGCACATTACAGCTTTAAATGTCAAGTTATCAAGAATTGTTAAGAAAATTATGTATCAGATGTGTGGAATTTTGTGGGCATCACGGAACTTTGACCTCATGGAATATAAGCCTTTGTTACATTAACCCTTTGAGTCTATCGCTGCACTCCAATTACCTGTTTAGCGGTCGCATGTGTGTGAGCGGAACTCCTAACCAACATTGCTGCCCTGATAGCTTCCTAAATTATTTGAAACCCTTTAGAATCTGTGGTGATCCTGTCCTGCTAATAAAAGTTAATGACGCGAATAGATTCGATTGAATCGCTTTTGCGGAATGTCCTAAATACTAGTCAATTCCAACTAATAATTGTTACTAACTAATTACTCTCGACATACAGCGATGTTATTTAATTATAATTAATTCGGACGGCCGACATGAAATATCAATACTTTGTTTAATTACTAGTATTTAATTACTAATATTTTCTGCTAAAATAAATAATATTTTATATAATTATGATACAAGAACGGAATACTACTTCGAGTAAGAAATATATTTTAATAATGTCCTCGTTTTAATATTTTTTAATTTATTGCAATGTATATTTATATTATTTATATATATGAAGTGACAGCTTCGCGTTCACTTATGTATAAACAGATACAATTACTAATAGAGAGAATGATATCGAGAAAGAAAATGATGGATTAATAGAGAGATTATTTCATGCATGATTTTAGATATTCTCGCATAATTTGATATTAATTTAATAAATAATGATTTAACATAATATTAAATAACGCATTTATAAAATGTATTTATGTAAAGAATATATTTTGTCACGAAGTTTTCCATATGTATGCATTAGATTCTAGTCTGATGATATTCATTTTTATCATTAGAAATTCGCACAAGCTTAGGAAATTCGATCTTTTCTGGAGCACGTACGATGCCGCGACCCTCTACCCACTCTCCACCCCATGTGACTCGCATATCATGCGGCTTGCAATGAAAGCGAGAAGAGAATCCTCTTCGCGCTTTCTACTGCTCTGCTTCATGTGTGGAAGATTGCTTATCCTCAAGCCACGTATTCTCTCTCACTATCTTCTCGATCGTCATACAGACAAAGATATAGATACATTAAAGAAAAAGTAATATTTTAAATATCTTTAGCAAAACATGATTATAACCATCAGACGGACTTGTAATAACGGCGGACTTGTTTCTTAAGTTACAATAAAAATAATTTTATAAGATTAATGAAAAATCAAAAGCACCTGAAGCATAAATTGTATTACAAAACACTCGAGAAATGAATAATATACTTAGTGTCAGCGACACTATACGACGGATAAGTTTTCACACTTCAAATAATATTCTTTTTTTATTTCTGAAAACGAGATTTGTGCTAGAAGTTATTTATTTCTCCACTTTTAACAAATTGTTATTATTAAAAAAAAAAGATATCTCGGGATATAACGTCGAAATTAATTGAACTATATATTCAACTATATTATTCATTTGAACTATATTATTCTCGATTCAAAAGAAAGGAAAGAGAGAATATAGAATAATCAACTGTTTTCAAAGCGAAAGATCAACGCTAAGAATGGAATATACATTGCTCATTAAAGACGCGGTCAACAATAATAGGGTTAACCACCTCAATTGAAGCACCCTTTCGAGATTAATTGAAACCAACCCCTTTAAAGGAAAGCTCGGGTGGAACCTTCTTACATCGCATGCATCTCTGATGGAAAAGGTCACGTGGTAGGCCTTTTTTCTCATTATATTCTTCGCTCTGGTGGCCACGTGTTCAACCCCTGTGCCACTTCTTATCCTCCATGCTATCCCCATCATAAAATAGTTTGAACGACACGTGGTACTTGAAA